TCTTTCCCTGCCTGCTGTGGGAACAAGCAGGTCCTGTATTCTTTACACGCAAATGACTGCAACCCCTCTGCTGAGAAGGTCAGCGAGGTGACATCTGCAGCACTGCTTTTGGTAGCACAGCACTGGCTTTCTTACCACAACCAGGTGGCCATGCCCAGAGCCACCGTCAGAGTGAACTGCTGGCTGAGAGCTGCCATACAGTGCCAAGGAGCAGCAACACCTGCCAGCACCTGCAGCTGGTGGGGATCAGAGACACTTGCCCAGTTACATCCACCCCTTCTGCAGCACAGATAAATCAGGTCTGGTCACTTCTCCACCTACCTGAGGTTTCTTGTCTCTTTCCTCTGGAGAAGGTTCTGTTTCTCTGTATACCACAGCTTTGGTTACCAGCATATCGGGATGCTGTAGTTTTGCCTCTTTGATTGCTAAAGCCAGTGCCTAGAAAGCAGAAGGATGAAATATTTTGTTGTCACTTCCCTGAAATCTGGTAGATTGCTCTCAACCAGACAGAACCAGCAGACAGAAAGCAACTGTCCATCAGCCACCATCCCAGAGGACACAGATGCAGAGGTTCCAAGCTGAAACCTAGCCTAGCAGAAGAGGCTGGAGCTCACCACTGACCAGGGATTTGCACATTACTGGGATGCCTCATGCACTGCCTTTCTCTTGCTTTTTTTTTTTTTCTCTAGAGATGAACTATGTCCCAGGCTCCCTCCTGAAACCCAAGCAAAGCAACAGCAGCAACTCTCTATGCAGCAAAACTCTAGAAAAATCAATTATAATAATATAATTAGATTTATTATAGTAACTCTAAAAAATCCTAAAATTTATGTTCTAAGCTTTAAAAATATTTTAGTTCTTTAATTTTTCTTTTTAAGCAAAAAATCCCAAAGGTTTAGGCCACAGGAAAAGGAGCCTGCATCCTCCATCATAAAAGTTTGTCATTTTTTGTTCCTCTATCATGGAGGCAGATGTAAAACACCATCAGCTGGAGTGAGACTATGCAGGAAAAAAAAGATTAATAACCTGGGTCACCTGGAGTATTTCAACACATAAAGGGGAACTGGAAAGTTTGTTTTAAGAAAACAAAAATGTGATCCCATCACTAGGCCTTGTGCTGGATGTAACCTTTACTGCTGCTTCCCTGCTGCAGCGGGCACTGACAGCAGCTGGGCTGGGACTTGACATGGGAGCCCCTGCACTCTGTGGGTTCCTGTTCTGCCAGACAGAGGTCAGTTTTCAGCAAGAAAGAGTAAACAGGTATGAGCCAGAACTAGAAGCATGTGGTGCTGCAGACAGCGGCAGCCAGAGCTAGGGCATCCTGCTCCTACCTGGTCCTGGTCCACGTCTTCATCCCCTGTGATAATGATGCGCTTCTCTATCCGGGTCTCTGAAAACCCTCCTTTCACAGTCTGCATGACAAGAAGGAACACACTCACCCACAGCTGTCCCACCAACCAGCTCCTGGCACTTGTAGCTCTGTCCACTGGATGAGGGACAATGCAGCTTCACTTCAGGAACTCCCCCTATAGTCAGCATAGCTCCCATCACCCCTGAGTCAATGCAGTGGCTAGAACCAGCAAGGCACAGCTGGCCATGGGCAGGGAGGAAAGGAAGAGGGGTAGCTGGAAGGTACTGAGCACTCCTCCTTTCTGCTCAGGTACCTCACTGAGCTTTTGCTTTCATTTATGTGCACATAATTTGGGTGAGGTTTTCTGATGCAGCCTCATTTCCCTCCATTTCCTACCATCACTCCTCTTTGCCTGAGCCACTCCAGCTCCAATAAACCCAATACACTACAGATGACACAAGGGAAGATGCTTCTGTACTGGTGCTCTGGGCTTCTTGGGCCAGAGGGACCTGGGATGTGGCTCTAGATACATCTGGGAACACCCAACCCACACTCACGTGCACAGGGCTGGCAGCCTAATTCGGAGTCTTTTTCCCCATCTGGCTTCAGGTCAGCAACAACACACGCTGCTCCTCCTTCCCTCCCCAAAGACTTCCTGCCCTCCCAGTTTAACAAGTAGCCATGGGCACAGCACAGTTCACAGTCCTCACTGGTGGCAGGCAGGTGATGAATACCTGATGCCTGCAGTCCCTTGTTGTCATGCTTGGCTGGATGGGACAGGGCTGAACTGGGCACAGCATGGAGCACTGTGCTGGCTCACCAGGGACAGCACACACCTCTTCCAACTTTTAAGAAGGGGCATTTTGTACACAACCAACCACAACATAAATCCACCCATCCTCAAATTCCAATTACTTCCATCAGGAACCTCCTCTCTGTCCCCTTCAGAGCTGCTCTTACCTTGGTAACGTGGGTAGTGGTGGAAGTCGAGAGGGTTTCTGCAGTGGCACTGAAGATGCTGGTGAGCATTTCTTTCCCAGCAGAGCTGCTGGTTATCTGCAGGACAGAGCAGTGGTGTCAGCAGGGCCACCAAAGAAGAGCCCTCAGAGTCCCAGAGAGCTGGGACCTTCCCACTAGGATGCACCTACTCAGCCAAGCATGGGAAGGGAGAGAGTGGCAAGGGAAAAGAAGACACTGCCCTGGGCTCCCAGCTCCTGAGGTTTTTTGGGGGGCTAAGGAGAGGTTTCCACAGCTACCCCAAGCCCAGAGCTGCAGGAAAGGGCCTCTGCAGCAGGGAGATGATTTTGTGGCTGTGTTTCACTTTTCTCCATCCATCCTTAGGGCCATTTAAGTGCAGAGCTCTCAGGCTACCTCTAGCACTGCCTGTGCTACTTTGCGTGGTGGGGCTGGCACAATCACTGCCCAGCCATGGTGTGCTGGTTATGTTCTCCTGCTGCACCAAGTGATGAGCCTGAGGCAACACGGGGTGTTTGGCCATGCTTGACTCCATCAAAATGAGGCTACTGAGAAGGGAAACACTTCACACATGAAGGCCTGCTGCTGGACAGGGATGTTGATGGCCATCACCTACACTGGGAGTCAGCAGACTCTGAGTGTGACCTTGGGTGGCCAGGCAGGACACCCAGAACTAAAGGTATCTCAAGTCTGCTATGAAACTTCACCAGGGACTGGGCTGTTTTTCAGGAATTATCCTCCTCCAGCAGGTGCTCAAGGTATGTGTCTGACACAGGAGAAAGGCAATAGGTAGGGGGTCCCCTGCCATCTTGCTCCCCAACCTTCTGAGCATCCTTCTGCTCTTGCTAGTACAAACCCAAGGGTGCTAGTGCTGGGAACACAGGAGGGGGCCCTGTAGGACCACACCAGCCCACAGATTGCATCCCTTCCTCCTCCCTTCCCCACCCCTTGGCCTAGCCAGTAGGACCACGTCCTCCCCCTCACCGGTGAGAGGGAGCGAAGGTCTGTGGTGGGAATGGCCCCTTTCCCAGCCTTGGTGCTGTGATCCTGAAAGAAGAGCAGATGGACGCATTGGCTTAGATGCAACACGGGGACAAACGTGGCAGGTCACCCTCCACAGACGCCCCCGATGAGGCAGGGACCCGCCCCCAGCACAGCGGGCCCTGGTCACCCTCGCTGGAGCTGAGGGACAGCCGGGGACAGTGGCTCCCCCAGCTGCCAAAGGGCCAGCCCTGCTTACTGAGGTCACCTGTGCTGTCTCTGCAGTGCCAGTGTGAGCTGTGGCTGTAGCGTCCCTGCTGCCCGGGCTGCCTCCATCAACCTGCTGGGACAAAGGAGACCAGGTGAGCCTGGAGATGCCAAGGAGGGGTGACACTGGCACAGATAGTGCAGCCGGAAGAAGGCTGGATATGTGCAGTGCAGCGTGTATGGTGGCTGTCCCACTCTGTCCAGCCCTCCCAGCAGAGATGGCCAGAGGTGCACACAGAGTGTCTCTGGTGGGCTTTTGTTTGATGTGTTGGGGACATCAGCAAGACAAGGGTAAACAGAGGCTCTGACCACCCCACTCAGCCACTGGCTCTCTCAGCGCTGCTGCTGGGAACAGGTTTTTGCTGGACTGAGGCTCAGCAGAGCTGTCAGAGCCACAGAAGGAATAAGCCACGACATCACCTGGACTGTGCCTGTGGTGCCAGCCTGGTGGGGAGTGGAGCCATCTGCTTCAGGTTTCTTCATGCCTGGCCCCAACCTAACGGTCACAGCATCCGTTTTGGTCACAGCATCTGTTTTCGGGCCTGATAACTGCAGAAAAAATACAGCAAGTCAGGCTCTGGGACACGATGCAAACAGTCCTGAGTGCTCCTTGTACATCACCCCCAGGAGCAGAGTGTCCTTGCTCTGCCCCTCTGAAATACGCCACACACATATGACGTCCTGCAAGTGTCATGCTGACCCCCACCTGGGCAAAGAGCAGAGGTGAGGCTGCTGCCCTGGGCAGATGGCCATCATGCCAAGTGTCCTGTGGAACTGACATGGCCCAAATCAGACCTGATGCTCTGTCCCTGGGGTTTCCAGGGATTTTTTTGATGGATTTACAGAAACCATGGGTTAGACCCACCAAATCCATTTCACTCATGCCCTGCAGCAGGTTTATGATCTGCACCAGCTCCTATGGAGACAGGTGTCCAGCACTCCACAGTACAGGAAACTGGAGCTGTGCAGGGCTCCTACTCAGGCTCCTGCCCAGGGGATGCTGAGCACTGGCTCAGTAAGCCAAAGGCCTCCCCTGCCCAGTGCTGGCCACTGGGCACTGCAGAGCTGATCACCCATGCCCATGGCCCTGCTGTGACCCTGGAGCCCACAGCATCCACACAAGGGTTTCTGGGCTTGCTCAGAGAAAGCTCCCTCTAACTCTGCTACTATTTCCTGGCTCCAGGTCTGGACTCACTCTGGCAGGTCCAGGCAGCATTTGGGACCTACCTGCCAGGGCTGGAGGGTTGCCCCAGAACTGATGGGGCAGGAGATGGCCCTGGCTTGGTGCAGAGGCAAAGCTATGTGTTGTCTACACTGGCACTGGCTCTACTGTCCTCTCCTCATGGTGTGCACTCAGCTGCCACACACCCCTCACATGCATTTTCCTTAGCCCAGTCATAATCCCTCCTGGCACAGGAGTGACCCTCTATGAGCTTCAGAGTGGCTCCCACCAGCTGCCCCGTGCATCCCCCCTGGCCTCACATGCCCAGAGAAGTTAGTTGGCAGCATATTTCTCTTGGCTACACAAACCCATCACTGGCTTCATGCAAAACACAAGGACAGACCCATTGATTAGTGACACAGCCCTTCCCAGCTGCTGACATGCTGTATGGTGCAAGGGACAGGGTAGCAGCCAGGTGCAGGGGATTAAGAGATGACAGTGACTTCTTCTGGTTAGCAGATGCACAACACACACAACAGGGCCATGCAACAGAGATGGCAGCATGCCTTGGGGGAGACCGCCTACACCAGACAGGAACCTGGGGATGTTTGAAAGCTAGCATGCTCTGCCATACCCATATGGGAGTGCACACCAGTGAGGCAATATCAGGCACCAGAACAAGGAACATGGAGACATGATGGCACTGAGACAGTCTCGGTGGAATGGTGTCCCTGTGTACCTCTAGCTGGGAGACATCTGGGCTGGGCTGGGAGACCTTCTCCCCGCCCTTGACATCTTCTTCCAATCCAGCAACTACTTTGCCAGTATGCTGGAAGGAAACCAGGCCTTCATCTTCCATTTCACTCTTGTCCTTGTCCAGCTCAGGCAGGCTCCGGGAGAGGTCCTCAAAGGCTGTGCCATGGAAGTCACCAATCACTGTGAAGTCTACCTCTGCTTCCAGGCTGGAGGTTGAACTGACTGTGATGCTGGAGCATTTGCGTTCGATAGCCAGGTGGTTGTCCTTCAGAAAGACTGAGTCCTTCTCCTGGTCCTGCTCCTCATCACCGGTGTCACTCTCAGGAGCCCTGTGCCGAGGTGGCTTAGATTTCTCCTCAGCTCCCTCCCTCAAGCCTGCTCTCTGAATGAGACACAATGGCGGAGAGAGATGGAGACGGTGAGAACCACCTGGCACAGCAGTGCTGGCTGTGCCCACGAGGGACAGGAAAAAGAAAGAAGGCTGCAGCAAACATTGCAGAGTAGAGTCAAACACAACTCAAGCATGGAGACTGAAACCTTTCTGACAGCAGCAACTTTGCAGGGTGGGGTGGGGGGAGGAGAGTTATTTGATCTGATTTTGCCAAGTCTATTGGTAATTAATCATTGCAAAAAAAAGTCAGTCATACAGAGAAGCTTGGCCAGCTTGGAGGCACATCCGTGCACCCAGTGGAAGCAGATGTATGCAAAACAACAGGTCTGTTAAGAGACATTCAGAAACAGCTCAGACACCAGTGCTACCACATGGCAGTAGGGTTGGGCACCCACAAACCAAACAAACAAAGAAAGGGGAAGAGAGAAGAGTTTAAAGAAAAGGGCCCCATCAGCTACGCATGGTGAGGGAGAAGCGAAGGAGTGTGCCAATTCCACTGAACATCCACATGGGCCCTGTGCAGATTTGCCCCAGGGGGAGGAGGCCCAGCCCTGCTGGAGCACTCCCTGCACCAGGGGGATCTGCCCCACCAACACCACACTCACCCTCCAGAGGCCTCTTGCAGCTGAGGGTGAGTCTTAGGGATGACCTGGTTGAGTGCTTGGTCAGTGTAATTGACAGCACAAGCAGAACCAAGGGATGACCTCCCTCCATTAGCTCTGCTCCAGACATGGACATACCTCTCAACTCTGCCATCATAGGGTACATTTCCCCTCGCCACACTTTGCCATGAAGCCATGGAAAATCTAGACTCATTGCTGGACTCTGTATCTAACTGGAGGCTGTTCTTGCTTAGGAACAGCTCTAAGACAGCTGATGACAGAGGAGACCCACCTCCTGGGCCCTTGTCCAAGGGTTTACAGCCAGAGCAATCCCCCAACGGGCCAGGCTATGCCAGCACAACCTTCCCTTGGCACTGCTGGGAGGTTGAGAGGTATAAGAAACAGGGTGTCAAACAAACTCAAGAGGAACATGCTGGCATAGATGGTGCTGTGTGTGTGTGTATGTATAAATACATACATAACAGCTCTGCAATGGGGGAGGAGCTGGAAGCACACAGCCCTCAGCTGCTCAAGGGGAGCTTTCATACTACAATAAGAAGCAGTTAGGAAAACAGCACTGAGACCTGGAAGACCACTGGACCAGCACTCTTTAAATTCTCTTCTTTCAGGATGGATTTTACTGATGGGTCAGCTAAATTCTTTTCTTCCCCACTTGGTTCCTGAGATTTGCTCTGGATTAGAGAAAATGGTTAGTTTTAAGGAAATGAACTCAAAAGGAGCTAATCTAGCACTTAAATGAGCAAAGAAAGCTACTTCATCATCCAGCCACCAGCTTGCAGTAGACAGGGGAGGGCAGGGAAGGCTGAGGAGCTAAGCAAGAAGGGACATCAACGTAAGAAATGCCAGGGTGAAGCTGGAAGCGTGGGCAGGTGTGTGTGCGTGTCTGTGACCAAGGCGCAGCTCCCCCCCTCTCCCCTTCTTGCTACTGGACACGAAGCTGGGTGCCCTTGGGTTTAGTGAGGGTCATTCTCCTGGGAGCCAAAATGTCACAGGGAGGTCACAAAACAAAAGCTGATGAACCAACTGGCCAGCAGGTCTGCATTCAGCGAGGAAGCCTGACGGCACAGACATACAGAAAAGGACACGGTATGCAAAGCGGCTGCTCGTTCAATGGGTGTGGGAGGAGCCACTCAACATAATAAAGAGCCACACAACATGCGCATGAACTTTCCAGCTGGACAGTTCATTGGAAGAGTTACCACGGCTTCTGCCAGTGTGAGTTCACAGCCAGAGTCAGGGGAGGCCAAGTCAGCACAGTCTTCTCCTTCATGCTCCAGGTCAACAGAAACATCTTCCTTCAGAGGGAGAGGCTGGGAGGAGGCTCCTGAACCAGCCCCTTGCCTGAGAGCCAAGGAGCTCACACTGGACACAGGTTCCACCAGACTTACAGGTACTGCTGGTGGTGAGGCAAAGCCTGTGTTCCAAAGCATGTCCTGCGCCAGGCTAGTCTTCTCCTTTGCTTTTTCTGATGCCTCAGCTTCAGGCACACATGCTTGTCCCTCCTGGGCTGCCCTTTTCTCCACTTTGCTTTGCTCAAACATCTTTATCTTAGAGGCCACTGAGGTTTTCCTGTAGCTCTCACTCTCCTGCCAGCTACCTGGGGCCACAGTGACAACTCCATGCTCCTGTGACACTACTCCAGTCATCCCAGATGTGCACATCAATGACCCAGACTCTATTTGATGGGTCCCACCACTCACTGGCAGCTCTCCCCTGCCTTTACAGATCAAGGTGGAGAGCTGGCATGTCTTGCTTCCTTGACACAAACCTACTACAGGGGCATCAAAGTGTGGGACATCAGCAGTTTCTTTGGGAGAAGCCTTATCCTGCAGTGGCCAGCCCAGAGCAAGATCATTGTCCCTGGTGGCTTCTCCTACTGTTGGGCTTACTTCCGAGTTCCAGGATGGCTCTTGTGCTTTGGGATCTGCAGTGTGTAGTATCCCTCGAGCTACAGGACCCTCTTTGGGCAGGGCAGACCCTCTTGTTATGGCCTCAGTGTCTTGTTCTGGTTCTTCTGCCTTGGGAGGCAACTCCTCCATGCAATGGTTTTTGTCATGGGACAATTCATCCATTCCACAGCTTTCATCTCTGGTCAGCTTCCCTGATGTAAGTCCTGTGTCCTGGGAGAGCTCTTTTCTCATGGGCTTCTCCTCCTGGAGTGGCTCTTCTGTGGCAGGGACTTTGCTCTGGGTTGCCTTTCGTGTGACAACATCTGTGTCCTGGGCCACCTGCCCAGTGGCTGGGTCTCTGACCTGGATCATCTTTGCTGTAGCATCTGTATTTTGGGGTGATCCTTCTGCAACAGGACTTGCACCTTGGTGTGGTTTCCATGTAGCAAATCTCATGCCTTGGGGTTGTTCTTCAGATTCAGGACTGACACCCTTGGGTCTTGCCACCTCTGCTACAGGGCTCATGTCCTTGGGTGCTCCTATGCCTTCTACAGGACTTGTCTCCTTGTGTGCCACCTCTGCTGAAGGGTCCCCATCAGTGGGTATGCCCACAGCTCTCACAGGGCTGGTGCTCTGGGACAAGTCTCTGCCCACAGGCTCAGCACCCAGGGCTGGCTCTGCAGGGACAGGGCTGGATTGCTGGGGAACAGGCTCAGGGACAGATTTATCCCCCCCTGACCCCACAGTGGTGTGAGGGTGGCCCTGCCAAGGCACAGCTGATGGAAGTGACTTGGTCTTTATCTCTTCCACCTGAAGCACCATTCTGGCACTTTCCTCCTTGTCGTTGTCTGCTCCAGTCCTTCCTGAGAGCCCCTCCACTGTTGTGCAGATGTTTGGGCTCTCTCTGGGCTCCTCAGCCCCATGAATGTCCCCTCCCAGGCCATGTGGCTTCAAGCCTCCCACTAGGCTTTGCACATCCATCTCCTCTGGTGCCACCTCCTGGGCTTCACCTCCCTCAGGCACTTCACAGCCTGTTAGCCCAGCATATGCTTTCTCTTGCAGCCCTTCCTCCTGCTCTGAGGTGGGGTGTCCTGCTGGGCTGGTCCCATCACAGCCTGTCCTGGGCTGCGTTGGAGCTTCAGCAGGTTTTCCAGACACTGCCCTATGTTGCTGACTTGCTGAGGAAGGGGGCTGAAAACCTTCTGCTGAATATGCTGCATGCCTGGATCCCTCTCCGGACATGTTCACAGCAGCTTCTGGTCTCTCCTCCAAGTCAAGCTGTCCACCAGCCTCTGAGAGCAGGTGTGTTTTACTGTCCTCTTCTTCCTCTAGATCTCCTAAGTAGATGATCCTCTGGGTCGCAGAACTCTCTGAGCTATTGTCACTAGCCTTCACTTTAATTCTGATGAGCTCTGTGGCTGTAGTTGGCACTCTGGCCTCCTGCTTCTTGGAGGCTGCAGAAGCATGCTCCTTGGAGACCACCTCACTTTCTCCCTGTGGAGGCTCTGGCCCCAAAATCTTGGCCCTTTGCCTCTCTGGAGGCTGCTGACATGGCTTGGGCAGACCTGACTCACTCCTGGTTTCTTCCTTGCCTTGCTCCTGGGGCTCCTCCTCTGTGCTCTCAGGTGGCAGGTTCTCTGCCTCCTGGCTGGGCTCCCCCCTGGACTCCTTCTCATTGATCTCATCCTCCCAGAAAGACTCAAAATCCTCTGGGCTAGCGATCATTTTTGCTCTCATCTGGGTATCCAGGGCTGCATCTTCTGGCTCTTCCTGGCCTGCCACCTCCTTGGCTTTCCCTAGTGCAATCTCCACTTTGGACGTGCTTGTGCTCAGTTTCACCTCTGAGGTACCTGCGCATGCTTCTTCTTTCTTGACTCCCAGAGCTTTCTTTAGAGCTACTGCTTCCAGCCTAGGAGTTTCTCTCTCTATAAATACCCAATGCTCCGAGCCCTGCATTGCAATTGGAGCAAGAAGAGTTAGCATCAAACATACTTTACCTACCTGCTAGTAACTGCTGGCGTGGGTCACAGAAACCTGATCTGCCTTGGACAGGGCTGATTACGTGATGATTATTGTTATTTATGCAAGAGTTGAGGCAGGGTCTGTACAAAGATTCTGGCAACTCACTGATGGAGAAAATAGACTGAAAATAAGGGGACTGAGCCCCTCTATCCTCTCCAGGGACCATGTTTTACTCTGGGTGATGGCTCACTGACACAGCTGCAATACCTGCAGCTTCACTGGAAGTACAGAAGTGGAAGCAATGCTCCCAGCAGATGTACTAACAGTCTCTCAGAGCACCTCTCATGAATTAACCCAACTAGGACCCCCCAACTGAGTCCTGTTTTCAGATAGCTCAACCAATCTCCATGACCAAAGGGTGAGATTTCACTGTAGACAATGGCTTGTGTTCTGAGTGGCTTCACTCTCAGTTTCATCCATGGTGCCCCTAGACTGTGTCAGACTGCCAGGAGCATGA